AGATTTCTAGAGATTTCTAGAGATTTCTAAAGATTTCTAGAGATTTCCAAAGATTTCCAAAGATTTCCAAAGATTTCTAAAGATTTCTAAAGATTTCTAAAGATTTCCAGATACTTCCAACGATTTCAGGGGTTAAAATCTGCTTTTCCCCCCTTGATGAGAGGGCCTACAATTTTTGTAAAATCTCTCATTTTCATTGGGTGCCTCTTGTTTTCACAATAAATAAAAGTCTCCAAGTATTCCGAAAAAAAATTATCTTTTTCTATATGAAGAGAAATTTCTTGTTTTTTATCTGAAAAATAAAATAAGCTGTTATTGAAAAATTGTAGAGCTTTTCACGCTGCATCTAGTGGTATACCTTTTTAAACAAAACCTATTCAGTAATTGAAAACTAGACTGCAAAAAATACAAAATGTGGTCAAATAATCTGTTTTACATATTAGTGAGGTTATACACAAAAATGCTTCCTATCGAAATTTTATTATTGTGATATTAGTTGAAGAGTGATCAAGTGGCACAGAAAAATAGAGTGTCACTTTCTCTATCACTACATAAAAGAGAAAATTTGATCAAGGTTTCTATTACAGAAATAAAGTGACGGTGCCACTACTTTTGGTATGTCCTAAGTATTTTTGCTACCTCAGACGTTTTCAAATATACTCATTTGATGGCATGTGAGAAACTAAATCAATTAAGTACATTTCTAAACGTCTAAGGTAGCAAAAATAATAATAAAAGCTAGTTTTATTGAAAAATTGAATGTTTTTCTTCGACATAAAGAAGCAGTATTTTTTAACATTTTTTTACAATTTTCTAAGTATTTACTTGAATATCTTAGTTCAAAAATATGGCTTAACATTTTTTTTAATATATATGAGCTAAATCATTGGTTAGCGACGGAACATCGCAAACATGCAGTATGCATATCTCGGAATTATCGGCTAGTTTAGGTGGGATTTTTGCATTTTGTACGAGTCTCTATTTATTTTAGATATCATGAAAAAAATGAACACTCTAGAGCTTTGTACAAAGGAGTTATTAAAGAAAAACCATCTTTAGCAATGTGACACACAAAAAGAACATAAATGATTACTTGGTATACTTTGGTTTTTGAAAAATTCTCAATTGTTGCACGATTGCTGAAAGACTTGATAGACGATACTAGACATGAATCTTAAGGCTACCGAATCTTGATATAAAATTATTTTGAGCATATGGAAGTTTTTCAAAAAACAAAATCTATTTGGAGTTAGCGAAGTGACTGATTACGACTTCACTACCGATCATATGCTCTGGTAACGAACTGAAAAGTTCAAAGTCTATTCCAAGGGGCTCACGTTAATAGTAGAAGCCGCTAGAATAATACTAAGACAAAGGTTTTCGTTTCAGCTCTATCTAAGGGTTCAGAAAGATCGATTTTTTGGAGAGAACTTTTTGAAGCCCGATCTCGTGGAAAATTTTGCTTTATATGCGGATCATATCCTAGAGACTGTCCTGAAGTTTTTCCTCATTCGGTTATCGAAACATTCACTAATTACTTCTTAATTAATTTATTATTAATTAATTAATTAATCAATTAATAACCAGGTGAAAGAGCAGGCAATTTTACATAAGCTTTTGCAGATAAAATTCACTCGAAAAACTTATATTAATACAGAATTGCATTCAAATACAACAGGTAAATGTCCTATTTTCGCTGATTTAGCCTATATACAGTTCCGTAGAGCTTGTTAAGCTCTATTAAACCATGTAAAAATTTGCAACAAAAAACTTTTACTCCATTTTTCAATTACTGGTATCTTAATTTTCTACGTTAAATAAGCATAAAATTTCAGAAAATATCTTAAGTTCGACATGAAAAGGCCTTCATAATCTTTACTATTTACTACCAATAAATCTATGTTTTGACGCGCTTTAATTTGGTGCAATACACATTTGTAAAATCATTGATACTTTAGATTGTAAAGAAGACACAAAGGTTATGTCACATCCCGTTGTTGTGACTATTTCTGGATAAAATAAAATAGTGTACGTATGAAATTTCTGGAACAATCTTATAAATCAGATGAATTAGGTCAAAAACTGCAAATAATTTGTTTTTTAGCGTTAATTATTTATGTTCGAGATAAAAATGGGCTTATACCAATAAGGTGCAGAGAACTACAGGTGGATAGTAGAAGACTTAAATGTATATAAGGAAATTTGGACTTTGTTTAATTGAATACTGAAATTCAAAAATAAATTTTGAGACAACTACTAGACATATATACTTCATCGTGTCACGTGTATGAAAGATCCACTAGCCATAAATGAAACTCGAATGTTTGGGTTCAGAATCATTCTTAAGCAGAGGTGCATTTCGTATAACATTCTTCAGACCTGACCGGCCGGTCTACCAACGACTGACTAGTCTACTGGTAACGCATGATACGTCGATAATTCACAGTCAGACAAGAAAGTGGTTTATATACGGATAACATGGGTTAACGCGTGACAAACTTGATTTACTAAGTTGTATCACATACCCGATATCAAGATGGAACTAGTCTGCATTTTTGACGATTAGAACTGATAGTGATTTGAAAAGGTTGGATAGGTCGTTGTACCGGTTGTCGATCGATCTATTGGTTACTGACTGATCTAAATGTTCTACTGGTAGTGGTTCCAGTTCTACCCTTAAGTTCAATAATTTTCGACTACTTTATAAAAGTAGCTATAAGTGAAAAATAAGAGATTTTTGGCTGATTAAAAAAGGCCTACATACAATGGAAGAAAACATTCAGCAACTGAAGGATTAAAGACTTGCTAGAAATATTTCAACGATTTTCAAAAAGAGGCAAGTCTGAACTTGAACAAATCCTATAGTTCTTGCATCATGTTCGATACATTTCAAAAAGGAGTTAGTGCAATCCCTATAGTATTAAAAGATGAAACACGATATAGCTGCTATTGCTAATGACACTGAAAAGACTATTTTTGATTCTATGTCTGTCATGGTCTATGATGGTACACTAGATATGTCTGTCATGGTCTGTTGGGAGAAAAGTGTTGATGCAAATTTATGACCCTATACTTCAGGGGGAAATAGTGGAAATTTCCTTCTTAAATTCTCATAAAATCTTTGACGTCTCGAGAAGTCTCTTGAAGTCCTTTCAAGTGTTTTGAAGCCTCTACTGTTGAAATGTTTTAAAATTTGAAGTCTACTATTTCTCATCGACGCTGATATATCTTGTTTTCAGTGTGATGTTAATACTTACGCTATTTGACAAATTATTATAGTCCATTTAAGACCGAAGATAGCCATCAAAGGATGTGGTAAAAGTATAGATGAAAATATCAGAAATCCATATAAAATCGATAATGAATTGACGCCAACATTGGCTTCTGTGTTGAGTGAACTTTGAAGATTTCCCATACCATTGAATGCAGTAAATTGAAGTAGAAACGCAATGCTGATCACCAATAAATTTTTGTATGTCTGAAAGCTTAGATGTTGTTGCTTTTCTTGTGTAGCTGGTCCCCCATTAACAATAACGCTTTCATCGATGATCATTCGATCGATTTCTGCTTCTAATTCATCATCTGAACTCTTTGACGTGTTACAAATACAAAAGTAGCAACATTCTGATTTTTTGAAGTGTTCTACAGTTTGCCGAGGTGAATGGTTTCTATCGGAAACTTGAGACGAGCATGAATCATTTTGTTTTGATAATGTAAGTAAAGGAGAACTGATATTTGGATCAAGTGATTGTGATTCTTCTTTAATGTGTGATAATTGTCGAGAGCATGCACCGTCATTCAACATTCTTTGTTTTCTAGTGTCTGAATGTCTATATTTCGTGTTTTTATACGTTTTTTGTCACTAACTGTTTGAAAAAAATTCAAGCAGAGAAAATGTAACATATTGACCATTGAGGCAGCATAGTTTATATTTTAGTAGGCAAAAAACCGGCTTCACTTTTACTCATGTCATAAGTCAATAACTCGTTCTTCTATTCGGCGGAAGTGTACGCTGTGAAAAGTTTAGTCATTCAAATAATATCTTGCGACATGTACGTCATAAATGACGCTATGTTGGAAGAAGAAAGAAAAGAAGCACTTGGGATAACAGTCATGATTCTATTAATATTTACCGTCATATACATCATAAATGGCGAAATACTGGAAGAAAAAAGAAAAGAAGCATCTGGAGTAACATTCGTCATTGAATTAATCATTAGCATCACATATATCTCATAAATGACTGTATATCAACAAAAAGAAGAAAAACTGTAACTATACTAACATTAGTCACTGAAATAACATCTAGTACCTAATACTTCAGGTGGACGTACGTTGAGAAAAGGAAGAAAAATGATGAAGGACTACATAAATATAGTGCTTTATATCGCATAAAAAATGTAGATTAACATGCAGTCGCGTAACTCGACAAGATAGATGTCACTATGGTCAGACTGAAATACAAACGTAATTGATCGTTTGTAAGAATAAGAGTCGATATATACGAGAAAAGTTGTATTTATTTAATAGTTACACATATCTGCAATTCTATAGTATAAAGCTACGCATTCAACATGGCCTGCTTTTGCATGTTTCAATGATACACTATATTTTTCTTTTCTTTTTCTGATTTCCCTTACCTGTTTTGTAGAATACTAGAACGACTTATCTATCTTTTTGAGTGGTCAATGGCTTTTGCACCCATTTCTCCGTTGACTTTGGATGGTCTCCCGAAATTCTTGTCAATGACATATCATGAATTAATTAGCTGGGCTGTTTACGCATTTGCTGAGCTTGGTATAGCGGATCGACTTATTCATGCAGCGATGGACAATGGTTTTACTGTTGAAGAGATTATTGGTGATGATCGACCTAAATGGAATAGTCAATTGCTTTATCGCATACTTCGTACATGTGTTTACGGCGGTCTTGTCGAATCCATTAATGATGACAAGCATTTTATTCTTACGCAATCCGGGAAGATGATGACGTCAGATCATCCGTCACATGTTCGGGATCATATTCGTTGGAGTTTCGGACCAATATTCACTGGTGCTTGTTTGCAATTGTCCGATATTGTGCGTGGTGAAGGTATAGGTACTGGAATAGCTCGTATCTCAAATGGTCTCGATTTTTACACGCTTATGGCTCAACCTGATCAAAAAGAGCTGTTGTCTATGTTTAGTGGGTCTATGACAACATTCTCAACGCAAACGGGCTCTCAATTGGTGACAGGGGTAAATTTCTCTCTTTTCAACACCATAGTCGACGTTGGTGGTAGTCGTGGAACACTGTTAGCTCAAATTCTCGAAAATTATCCAACAATTCAACAAGGAATCGTCTTCGATTTGCCACATATTGTTAATCAATTTGAAAATGGTGAAGAGTTCGAATTACGTAAAATACATAAAGACAGATGGAGTTTTGTTGCTGGCGATATGAATGACTCGTCAACAATTCCACTAGCAGATGCCTATGTACTAAAACATATTTTGCACGATTTCAATGATAGTAAATGTGTGGAAATTTTATCATCGATTCGTAAAGCAAATAAAAGTCGAAAAGGTCTAACAACAACTGTATTTATTATTGAACATATAATTTTACCGGATGGAGCTTTAAGCAATTGGCAATCACATGCATTCGATATAGGAATGGCCGTTTTGTTTGATAATGCTCATGAACGAACACAAGATGAATATGAAGAATTGCTCAAGAAATCCGGATTTGAAATGAAAAAATTATATCCAATTCAGGCACCAAATTCAATTATCGAAGCTGTAGTTGTTGATTAAATGAAAGCTGCTGAATTATAATCGAACATTTGAGAAAAAGATTATTTTACCCATTCTAGAATGATGGTGGGGAGGAGAGTTTAAAAATAAATTAAAAAAAAAGACACAATAGGTCTGAAATTTTACTTGTTCAGGACTCCAGTATGTAGAGGTGTAAACCGTACGGCTGCGCCACCGCCGCTGAGACATTTTAATTACAGCCGTCACGCTGCCGATGGTCTTCAAAGTTTTAAAATTTTCGAGTCGTCGTCACTGACAATTATGATAAATATCGATAAAGTTTCATTTCTATTTTCCTTAATTCAGTTCCTTTACATCCTAAAACCCAATATATCTCTTTTTCATTAACTTCTTCGCCTTCAAATTCACTTTCGTGCTTGTTCTGTGTAGAGGCGTAACCAGGGAAAATCCGTAGGGGGGGGGGTGGGCTCAGCCCCTCCCTCCCCAACTGTAGACAACGAAACAACATAATTCTTTGTCTAGTTTCTTTAGTTCGTATGACGTGTATAAAAATTGAATAGCACATACGAAATCCTATTGAACGTGCTACAAAACGCATATTTACCTGTTACAAACACCCTTTTTCGAAACAATTTATCGAAAATATCGAGAATTTCTTTTGCTCCTACCCGTTACTTACTGTTTAGTGCATCCCTACCTCCAAGAGACATATCTGGCGTCAAAATATAAGAAGAGTAAAATGTTTTATACCATATAAACTGTTCCTCACCGTTCTTTTCTATACTATTGTTTGGACAATACTACGCAGTGAGAAATTTTGTTTCTTCTTAGACTCTAAAATTTCTGATGAGATAATAGCGGTATAAAAAGCATTGATTTATTATTTATTCAAGGAGAGCATGTCACCGAAGGCGGCACCTTTTTGGAACGGAATAAAAACGGTTTGACTAAAATATTGTATAGTTCAATGAAATAAAAACTTACGCTTCTGGAGTGACAAGAACGAAATTATAGCACTCATATATGTTCAGCCACTAAAGTCCTCTACGCTTTCAATCGCTGTGTTAAAAGTGGAAGATAAACGCAAGGCGTATACAAAGCTTCCCATTGCCTAAGTCACACAGATGAACGAATCATATTTCAAATGCTAATTCGAAATGGAGAGAAGACTGATCAAAATGAAAACTAATGGGACAGACCTAAGTCGCGAAGCAAAAACTTCTTAAAAATGCAAGAAAAATGTGCATTAGAAATTCATTTTCTAAGGGATTTTCCTTCGAGTTCTGGACTTCTTATTGTTGATGATGCCTGCTGTTATGAATAAGCTGTATGTTGATTTCTATTATTACAGAAATCAAGCGCAATTTTCTTTAATAAAAGGGGATAGAAATTTTTCTAGGGGGGGG